TTGCCATATTCTGAATGCCTGAAATGTCAGTTACTCAATATTAACTAGCTAGATATTTCTATAACCTGAAGTAAGAGTAGGGGAGCGAACTTATTTTTTGATAGGCTGGTAATGTTTGACACTTAAGTAATGCTGCTTCTTACAAAAATTGGTTCATAACTAGAAAAGAAAAATCTATTTGTTGCATAGCCTGAACAAAGCATTTTTATTATTACTATAATTTTTTTATTTTGTGCAATAAGTTATGAGTAGCTTGTAGTTTGAGAAGCTACTCACATCTTATTTCATAGCAAGTAGCTTCCCCAACACTGATAACATTTTCTGATCTTTAATTTGATCTTGATCTTGAGTTTTAAAATTTATAGTGTTGAACAATAATTAATATGTATATATGTAGGGACTCAGCAGGAACAAATTAATAGTTCTTCATTAACATTCAAGTTGCTAATATTAATGCCCAAGAAATGCTAACTCTACTTTCACCCTCTTCTCCAAAAATAACACTGTAAAGTGTTACACTTCAGAACTTGAGCACTGCTTACTTGACTCACTTGTGCCCTTAAGTACACGTGCACCATAGATCCACCAATAGTGGTACTAATATGCTTATCTGGAGAAAGAAGGGTGGCTATGGGCACCATTTGGGAGCAGGATCATTTTAAGTTATTATAAATTGAGCTTACCAACACATCTCACATTGCAATGTGTTTACTTATGTTTACACACACATATCCATTGTGAAGATGATACATTGTCGAGTGTAGTGATATATTTTTTGGCTTTCAATGTTTCGGACTTCTGAGTCTTACTGAAGTAATAGTACAGGAACTGTCCAGTGCTGAACTCAAAATATCTCACTGGCCTGTGTCATGTGGAAGAAGCTTATTTATTAGAAAAATCCAAATCGGAAAACAAGATAAAAAATGGGGTCTTTGTCCTTTTGGAAGGTGAACCTCAACCCAGTTTGAAGTCTTGCAGACTGAAACAGGTTTTCTCCTAGGACTTTCCCTGTATTTGGCTCCATTTATTTTGCTCTCAACCCTGAGCAGTTTCCCAGTCCCTGCTGATGAAAAACATTCCCACAACACGATGCTAACACCCTCATGCTTCACTGTGAGAATTTGGTTCTTAGCAGTTTTGGGTTTCTGCAAAACATAGTGCAAACAATGACAACTGGTTGCACCAGGACTAATCTAGGGGTTTCGTAGCAATGGGGTGAATGTTAATGCAACTTCAACACATTTTTTGTAAATAATTTTGCAGACTGTATTGTAGGCTTTTTTTTTTTATTTGTAGATTCATGACATAGAATCCCAATTAAGTTGTAACTCTACAAAATGTGGAAATGTTCATTGGGAGTGAATATTTAGGCAAGGCACTACAAATATTACAAATACATACTACAAATATATTATACATAGTACAAATATTGTGATGATTAGACATAAAGGTGATTTATGCTGAGAGTTGTTTTTTTTTATTGTAAAGATAATGGTTTAGGTGCCACAAAGTATGTGAGTGTACAATAACTAATACAATGTCTTTGCAATAGTGTATTGGAAGCAGCTGAGACCATTCACTGGAGTGGTTTTGAGTAAAAAACATCCTGAATAGTCCTACTTGACCACAGATTTATGGTTAGTCTCACCAAAACTGTCTAATTGAAGCACCAATTTATGTCTTCCATAAAACTGGGGTCACTGATTTACAGTAACATATATTCTCTGGTATACAATTGTAAAATTTCAGCAGTCAAAAAAGCAGTGGGATTAGAAAGTCAGAGTCTATGAAGATTTGGCAAATGAGTGAGTAAACCTGTAGGATTTAGGACTAAATACAGTAGGGGATACCTTGACGTGCAATTATACATCAGGTAAGAGTGTGGAACACAAATACGGGTTGGTCAGGATTAGGGTGCTTTTTGTTCTATCACTATCTCCAGTTCTGAGATTTTCTGTGAGTAGCTGATTAGACACAGGATGGGTCCGTGCACGAATGAATTACCATTGTAAACTATGAATAGTTCTTAGAGCTTGGTCTAAAAGATTGAAAAGTGGAAAAAATAAAAAAGGCATTTTCCTTATCTAGGGTGAAGCCACCTAGGAAATTCTATTTGGAAGAGTTGAGTTCAATCTAGAAAATGCAGTGCCTGAACTTTGCCAAGCATTATTAGAAGTACAAATCTACAACTGGCCAGATAAGATAATCTTTTTGACCATACACAACATTAACATATTTAGTAAAGAAAGGGGACTGCACACTATGAAAAGCTCACTGTATACTATGGTGATGGATCATTGATGTATTAATACTGTTTCACAGACTTTAGTTTCCACCTCAGTGGCAAGAAGTGCTATAGTTTAGTATCTTTTTTTAATGAACGGTTTTAATTGACATGCAAGGACCCTTGTGAAGACAGGAAACCTCTTGAATTCCACTAAATACTATGTTTTGGCATAAAACCTGATTGCCTGTCCCAGTAGATTAAGATTTTGTTATTCCATCAAAGTAAAGACCGCAAACAACATAAAATCACAATGACACAAATCAATGTTTTGGCAGTCTTGGAATAATAAAAAGGGGCTTAAAATGATCATGAGTGAGTAAGCTAAAATATAGCTATACATGTTATACAGTAAGATATTATCGATTGCAAAACACATAGCTTTATATTTATTGGCTTGTATATGAGTGTGGCAGTGGAAGCTGCTAAAAGGAGGTTGTGAAAAACCTGTTCCTTGCCTATCATATCTCTGCCACTAGCAATTCTCTCTCTCTCTCTCTCTCTCTCTCTCTCTCTCTCTCTCTCTCTATCTCTCTCTCTCTCTCTCTCTCTCTCTCTCTCTCTTGTGCTGTGTGTGTGTGTGTGTGTGTGTGTGTGTGTGTGTGTGTGTAATGTTCAAGCAAGCTACTAAACAAGCCAAGTGAATCTTTGATTTATTTATAACAGGGCCATAGTTGTGTAAGAAGATAAAATGTAAGTCTCACTCTGTGTGTGTGTGTGTGTGTGTGTGTGTGTGTGAGAGAGAGAGAGAGGGAGAGAGACTTACATTTTATAGAGAGAGCGAGAGCGTTCCATTCACATATCCATTAATCTTTGCTTTCAATGCCAATATGTTTTGAATCTAATTTGACTCTCAACAAGCCTCAAACAATTACAGTCAGGTATTGCACTAAATGTATGTTCTCAAAAAGTGCTCCTGCATCTCCACATTACAGCAGGATTTAGTACCAACCCACCTTGCTTTTTCTGAAGATGATTAGTATGCAGGAGGATGCAGGTGGAACAAAAATCTGCAGAATTTAGAACTGGTAGAATGACAAGAGGACAGACATTACAAACTTAAAAGCAAAGTCATGTCATGCTGTAAATATACAGTATTACATGAAGGAAAAGTGTTGCAGAACTTTATCCTGAAACAATAAATTAATATTAATATTAGAGAGCACGGTTAACTACAAAATGTAACTGGTGCTGAAATTTATGCCATAGTAGCTTCAGTTTAAGAGGCTCATCCACCATCTGCAGTAACACTACATTAAAATATTCATAAGACTTTCATTTAAATATTCATAGGACATATAAATAAAGAAATGATTGAGTATTGATCCAGAAAGCTGATAGGGCACTAAGATACCTGACTCCACCCATTTCTATAGAAACAAAACAATAATTAAATCAATGTTGATATTCATACTGATTTTTATATTGATTGTAATGTTGGTGTTCATTGCACTTGTTAGTAAGAAGTAAGAAGTTATAGGTTCAAGTATGAGCAAAAAATGCTCAAACCTTCACGCAAACATAATTACATGCACACACACAGAGATACGCAAACACAACAGTCAATAGACTAGGATGTACACTAGAACCAGCTCTTGGGTAGTTGCCAAGCAACAGGATGTGTGGCAGCTTCAGGATTGTCACTAAGTGTGTGTTATGCATTTTCAAAGTTCTGTAAAGCATGTGTATATTGGCTTGATAGGGTGAGGAGCTTTCAGAAAAGATGGACCTGACAGATGGTTTCTCACATTATACACATTTCTACACACACACACACACACACACACACACACGCACGCACGCACACACACACACACACACACACACACACACACACACACACACACACACACACACGCCTGCAGTGTCACAGCTGAGCTCATATTTATGCCAGTTTCTATGCTGTTTAACCCTTTGATGCCTCTCTTCAATGCTTTCCATCACTCTGCTTCTCCATCTTTCCCTCCCTCTGTCACACATATTGCATACCTTCTCTGTTAATCATCATAGCAACTGCCTTTCCATTGTTTCATTGGTCAGATAATGCAGCAATGAGAAAAATAACAGTCCTCTTTGGCCTGGCTGGTGAGTGCATGGTGAGAATACTGAGCAAACACATTCTGACAGGAAGAAATCTTTCCAGCAGACAAACACTCACACATCGACACAACCACATACACACACTTAAAACAAGTCATATGTAGACACTATCCCAACCAACAGACAAATGCACACACACACTCACACACAAACCAAGCCTTTCCTGTAGGGTGACATGATGAGCCGATCGAGGTTGCCATGGAAACACATCCTACGCAAGGAGAAGAAACAGAATGGAGAGATTATGTTAATCTATAACTTTTTCCATAAAGACTAGTAGTGACTCAGGTGAGGAATACATACACAAAATCACTGAGTTCATATATTTCAATTATGCAATAAAAAACAATGCGAATAGTGCACGATAACATACATCACCTGTTTGTGTATAGTTTCCCATCAAAGACATGTGATTTGAACAGATCATGAAAATGGTATTAATTTCTTTTGTAAAATGTTCCTATTTGGAAACAAAGACAAATATTGGCACACAAACATGAAAAGCTTTCTAAAATTATAATTTGAAGACAATTATAATTTTTTCCTTGACAAGCAATACTGCCTGAACAGTGTTTTTGTAACTCATTCTATAATGAATCAGCCTATAATGGCAACAGGCAATGGTGGCTCAATGGTTAAGACTCTGGGTTCCTGATCAATAGGTTGGGGGTTCAAGCCCCTCTTGGCTGCCACTGTTCTGCCCTTGGGCAAAGCCCTTAACCCGCTCAAGGGACGCTGTATCATCTTTGACCCCAGCTTCCTGATGAACGAATATTTGCAACAAAAAATATTTCACTGTGCTGCAATGTATATGTGTCAAATAAGAGCTTCTTCTAACACTGGCACAAGGTGAGAGAATTCACCCCGGACGGGATGCCAGTCAATTGCACTGCACCTTGCACACACACACTTACTGGCATTATAGCATAGCAAATCTCAATGTTTTTCGACATAAGACGTACACCAGAGAACCCAGATCTAACCAATGCTAATAGAGGGAGATCATGCAAAACTCCACAGGGACAGTACCCAAACTCAGGATTAAACCTGAGACCCTGGAGCTGTGAGGCAAGGAAAATAGATAATATTTAAAACTAGTTAATTCACAGTTTAGTCACAGGAAGAAAACAAGTTTTGGTCAATTCATTCAGAGGACATGGTAAATGGTAAATAGTCTGCACTTATATAGCGCTTTTTTCATGTGGGTCGGGGATCGAACCACCAGTTAATGGACAACCCACTCTCCCACCTGAGCCATATCAATGTATCAGATGACATTGTGGTAAAGATGTACATAAGCCACAGTTTTTTTTTGTATTTCTCATATAATGTTAAACTACACAATTATTTTGAAGATCACAGAATAATCTATTGGTCCCCTCTGGAACCTTCAGTACCTCCAGAGAATCAATAGGTGCAAGAGTTCCAAGTTCACAATAAAATTTGCTTAATTTTTCAGACCTACATTATTTTCTAAACAATCACAGATTGTTGGTTCCCTGTGACCCTGAAAAGGATGAAGCGGTTGAAGAAGGAAGGATCACAGATTGTTAGGTTTACAATTCATGTCAATTATTATAATGAGACATTTTAATTCCACAGAATTGTTACAGTAATCTAGCATCAGAGGGCGAATGCTATCTTGGATGGTAGTTATTGGGACCGCCCCCCAGCACACATTAACCAATTAAAGTCAGGGAAGTATTTCTACAGAAGACTAGGTGAGAGGTTTACTGGTGGGCAATTTACATACATAGTCGTCTTGATGAATATCAACAGCACCTGTGGACTGAAAAAGGTTAGTAGACATTTTCCAAGTCGTGGGGAAAGGTCAACCAAATAATTAACACCTCAAAGAGTGACAGGCCTGTGGTTTTAGATGGGGTTATTCGAATTTCAGTAAGAACGTCATTTTAGATCAGGCAGTATTCTTTTGCCAAAATCCTGACAATAGTTTTAGCATTTTCCCTCACGCATGGAAACGACATACAATGACCAATAACATTCTATGCTTTCAAAATGTTTGGCATATGGGTAAAATTGACCTTCAGAGACATTCAAAAAGTATCAAAAGGTCTCTGAGTGGCGTAGTTTTGTAGTCATATCAAACATCGTGAGAGATATGTCTTTAATTGAGGACATAAGTCACGTATACAAAAATTAGAGGTCATATCAGACAACACTTCCTAATAGAGAATGATGGGAGACGTTGTCTTTGTTTTGACGATCGTGAGAGCTGTAACTTTAGCACAGGAAGAGATAGATCTTACATCGAATGCATAGCACGAGTCTGTAAAAAATAGTGATTCTTTGACCTTCAAATATCGTGCACACATGAGTTTGAGCTGAATTAAATGGCAATGAATGTGCTTCAGGTACCACGTCTGGTAAAGAATTTATTTTTAAACAATCATGATTTTCAAGTAAAGGAATGGTGTCAATTTATCAGACAAATTTAATGGTCAAATTTGTGATAGCACAGAGAATAGTTTCATAACCACTTCTGCACTGAGCCATCATGTATTGTGTTTCAATATTGGATAATACCCGTTTCACCTGTGCAACACCAAAGGGTGTCAGAACCAAACACTCTGCATGGATTACCAAAAGAACAGCACTCACAGCCACTGCACGCAGATGCACGCAGGTAATCCAGCATGTTCCTGTGCCACCCCCAGATTGTCAGTGGGCAGATGGTAACGTTTCGTGTAGTCTGTCAGACCCAGGGCTGGAGAGAGGAACATGAAACAGTTTTTAAATGTTTAAATGCAGAAATAGTCTCAGTTGTGTGTGTGTCACATAAGTATGGGTCCCAGGAGTCAACATGGATCAAATGTTCAACGATGGCCCTGAGATGTTATGTAGTGGGCAGTTGAGAAGTCATGACAACCACCTCCGGCCGTCCAACAGCCTTCTCTGTCCTTTTGATAAGAGAAAACCCAAACATTTGACTTTGTTTTACATAGGTGCAATGTTGTACTGAATCTTTTGTGAGCTAGATGTTCCAGCAGTCTCAAGGTTGCAGTTCAGCAGCAAGCTTCTGACTAGCGTCATTTGTGACATGGAATCTTGAGTCTCAGAGTCTTGTCTCACCATGCAAGAAAACACGGGGCCAACGTAGACCTCTGGCAGGTGTGTCCAGGTCAGCTGGCATTCCCTTGCGTAAATGCAAACAGTGGCTGAACACTTAAACCAAAAGAGCATACTCTACCACGCTAAACCATGCATGGTGTGAAGCTATTAATGTATTAGAAACAGGAAAAATGTAACATTGAAACACAGCTTCCACATGAGGTCTTGTGTAACTCGCCACATGACATCAGGCTTGGGAACAGGATTTAACAGGCATGTTATATGGGCTCACACAGGGCTTCAGAACACCTTGCTGTAACAGAGAAATAACAATAACATCAATATCAAGGGCTTTTGATTCTGATAAGGGATATTGTTTTTTTTTTTTACATACACAGGATGAGAATGTTTTTTCTTAGCTGATTGATAGGACATAGTATGTCCTTGTGGTCTAGAATGTGGTCTAGAATGTCTAGAATGTTAGCCAGAGTCTGTAACCTGGATCTGATTCTGAATGAGACATATTCTGACAAATTTAGCTGATTTATGAAATTTACTGATTTTCCACAATCAGAGGTTTAGAAATTTAGAGGTTTAGAACCCGAGAATGCAAAATTAAAAAAGACACTCTGGCATGTTTACAAATTCATGCGTGAAAATTAATTCATGATCCAAACATTATAATAATTTGTACTCATATTCATAACAATCCCTGAATATTATATACAATGGCAATGATAAGAAAGTCTTTTGTCAGGCAAAAATGACTATATACCTGAGCAGAAGAACAAAGTGTCACAAAACACAGACTGATGTCATAAAAGTCCTCTGCAGACTGATAAAATCAAGAATTCTGATTGATTTTTACCTTTTACAGAAGTATGTTTTATTTTTATTTTATTAATGCTCCTTTAAATATTAATTTATATTTTGAGTCACCAAAAAAAATCTCTCTCACGCGTTCTCTCCCTCTCTCGTGCACGCTGTTTTTAGAGTAACGTGAGAAACACACAGAATTAAAATTAAAAGAATGATTTGGAGCTACGTTTAAGTTTGATCGGCATACTGGGCCACAAGAGTTATATGTCTCTCTATTGATTGTGATAATAAGAAGGAGGTGGAGGTGGAAACGTATCTGATTGATGGTTTGAGTGGGACCTCGACCTCCCTGCAGCAGCGGGAGGTGGGCCATACATATGAGGAGCGGGCTGATATTGACCAGGCTGATGATAATATGGGACAGATTGTGCAGGAAAATACTGCAGGCCACCTCTTACCATAGAACCATGACCACGGCCACCTTGACCTCTCTTTTGAAGCTGATCTTGTTTTTTAGCATAACATTCACGAGCCCAATGGCCAGGTTTCTTACAATAATGATATGTGCCTAAACGATAATCAGGACAGGTCAGTGGGAGATGAGCACGACAGGACAGTGCTCGCGCTGGGTGTGTGGGCGGTTTATCATGAGTAGGTTTTTGCTTTGATATCGGAGCAGCAGCGGCGATGGAATTTAGGCTTGGAACTTTAGTTCTATGTGGTGGTGTGCAAGGTGTCTTATCATTCACATGGAATGTTTTAGGTAATTTATCCTTCAAATTATAATGTTTATTCCACAAGGGGAGTAGGCGAAGCCATTCCATATAACATTTTGACATATATACATAATCCCAAAATGGATAACCTTCCCCATCATAAATCATTCGTTTGATCTGAGCTAATACACGCGACTCAAAGGAACCACGGAGTGAAATCATTTGAAGCTGTGGCGGGCATGCAACTGACCAACCGTATAAACAATCTAAATATGGAACCATATAAAATCCGCCTAACACCGACTCAATCCAATCTCTTGGTGTCATGCCAGGAGACGGAAGAACCATGCTGGACAGAGACCCTCCCATAACCAACTTGGAAAATACTACGCACAATAACACAATACTTATAATACTTAACACAATCTAAATATAACATTCTTAGGCAAACCACACAGAGACTTTTGTAAATTAATTTAATTAAAATGAAAATTATTCTACCACTATATAAAATACTAGAATACAATACTAGATACTAGATTAGATTAGGCGGCACTAACGTTACAGAGGATCATAGCCAAGAGTACAGATTATCAGCCCCCAATAACCACTCTAAAATTTATGGGTACGAAATTACACTGCACCAGGGGAGGAAAAGAAAAACACTCACCTGGTCCAGAGTAATCCCACTTCTGACACCAAATTGTTAGATTTCACCCCACAGGAATCTATCGCCTTTTCGATCTCCGTCATGCCTTTCAGCCTGTTTTACCATTAGCTTCTAGAAACTTTCAGTTACTTTTAGTTCTATGTTGCTATGATCTAGAAAGTGTGGTTTGCTGGAGAGTCTGAAGTGAACACACACACAGACAGATATGAGCGTGTTCAAAAGAGACTTCCCGCTTTATTCAGTCAAAACAGAAGTATTTATACATATTGTTCACATTGATAACAGCAATGCGTGGACGGTTTCTACTGGTCCAAGTGTCAGACAGATTTAGACAAAAAACACATAACATAGTTATGATACAAAATAAGTCCCATGTGATGTTGACACAGAAGTACATAATAATATAATCAAGGAT